TGGAAACTAATGCAAAACAAGTAGATGGTCTCACAGCTCATTTGATCACATCAGAACTGTTGATAAACTTACAGTAATTAGTTTCCTGTGTTCAAGACAAGAATCAAAACTGAAATAAGTGTGGGAAAGGTCACAATTCAAAAGGTATAGAGGTTAAACACAAAGCTACCTAACAGGAAGGTCTGCACAGGCAACCATTCTCCTACGTGTTTTCCTGCAATTACTTTTTCCTTCTTTTTCGAGCAATTTTGTATAGAACTGCATCTCTATAAAAGCTGTTTACACAGTACTCTGAAACACGGACATTTGAAGGTTTTTTTCCACTTGAGTGCACTAAAGAACCTCCTTGTCTCAACCTAATCAATAAAAGGCATTTAATTGTTCGCTGCAGCTGTGTAACAGAAACAGCAGACTACATAAAATAAGCAGTAAAGTGTTATCATAAACAATGCCAGAAATTCGTGTGTCAAGAATGCTACAATGTCTTCTACACTGGTGGATTCCCATCATTTCATATAGCTCAGCTGCAGGCAATGAAATAACACACCTGAAATTAGGCATATGCTTAAGCACATTAAGTGGCCTTGACAAGCAGGATGCTCATTCTTTCCCAGAAAGAACTGAGTAACTGGTTTTGCTTATGAGAGACCAAGAGGTATTCCCACTTTTATGATGAGAGTAAAAAGAAATTAATAATTCAAATGCAATTTGTTGAAAAAAGTATTTCTAACGAGTTAGACAGTACTAAGGTTATAAAGTACTAAGCACCAAAGTCTACTTTAAAAAGAAAAAAAACAACCAAACTTCGAGAAGTTGAGTGCCAAGTCTTTTACTACTGTTTGCTAAGAACAGGACCTAAATGAAGAATAATTTTTAACAGCCTATTTGAAAAACAAAACATAATCAACTCATTGCTGAAAATGCCTGTGATTTTCTTCAGGACCTAAAAAGAGGTGAATAACACAGAAAAGGTGCAGGAGTCTAGAGACAAGATTTTGGTTTCTTTTGTTTCTAATATATAAAAACAAACCTAGCTCAAAAATGGGCATACTATTTCTTCTTAAGAAAAACCACGAGAGAGATCACCACAAGGGAAACGGAGAGAGACAACCTCTCCTGTCTTGAGAAATCACTTGTATGGTGATAGAACCATTTCCAATATCCACAAAAGACCCTGCACATACGAATAACAGAAGTTTTAAAAACCAATTTGAACTGGAGCCATCATAAAGAAGTTTTCCTGGAACAAAAACATCTCCAAAAGTCTCTATCACTGTATTTTTCTTTCAAGTTCACCTTATCAGCCTTCATTACCTCTCCCCTACAGCCTTGCGTCAGTGTGACAGTTCATACACACGTAGAAAAGAAAAAGCAAAGTGCTTGGAATTCTCAACAGCTTTTTCTGGGAAGCTCCAGTAGCTATAATTAGACAAGCCCTTTTCTAAATCACAAATACAACTATCAATAGAGATAAAAATGAAAACTAGCATCAAATACATAGAACAAGCCAAACCTACATGTTGTTTCCTTCAAGTTATCTCAAACTGTGCCCTGATTTAACCCTCAGAACTCAAATACAATGGCTGTTTCCATGGTTGCCCTAGCAATATAAGATACCTATGTAAAATAAACAACAAACTCAGATCATCTTATTCTCATGTCACAAAACTAATACTGTATAAATATTGGGAATGCAATTATGTTTTCAGTTAAAGCCAAAAAAAAAATGGATTATAGAAGTAGGGCAGATTCTGAATCACAAAATAATTAACCCGACACTTCTAACAAGTCTAATGTAATTTCAAGCCCCAAAAAAGACTGAAATCCTACAAAACTTTAAAACTCAACTTCACGTTGCAGAAACCTTACTTTCTCCACTTGCTGAGTTAAACTTGTAACACCAAACCAAAACAAATGAACAAGAAGTTCAGATCTCAACTCTTTCACCCTGCTGCATTTTTAAAATACAGATCTAGATAACAAGTTCATAAAATAGTCCTAAAAGATCCAAGTACTAGAACACGAAGCTTCTTAGTTCCCCTAAATATAGCAGCAGTCACATGGCTGCCATTAAGACCACATTAGCTTTTCCATGCTAGAACACCTCCTAAACCTTTCCCCCCTCAAAAATTAGATCGTGCTTCAGTCTTATATAAAACCCAGCATGTAACATCTCAGACCTAGAACAGCTTATATAAAAAATACACATCCACAAACACAACTCCACCCCAAAACCTCCACAAAACCAAACAGTGGCACCTCAAAACTGCACCACTGAAAAGCAAGAAAAAATTATTTGCTGCTCAGCAGGTGTCTGTGATCACCAAATAGCTATTTATAAGCCTTTTCTTACAAATAACAGACTATATAAATAAATCTTTCTTACTTCTAGACAGAATAATTAAAAAAAAGTTTAACCTTTAGATGATGATCAGTTCTCAGGAGAAAAATTGTACTTTGCACTTTATGAATGCACAAACATACCAGTTCATACCATCCCATGACCAGTTCCAACACATTAGCATTGCACTCTTCATAATAATAGAGCAAATCTGTGGATGCTTGGCAGAAACCCACAAAATGTATTTCCAAGACAGCAACCAACTGACAACCACCATTAGGTATACCAGGCACCAAGTTTTATTTCACCGATGGAAAAAAATAAATTAATACACACTGTTTTATACAGCACATTCAAGACCTGTGCTTCACACAGAGTAGCTTTCAGAACTCCCTGGTGTAAAATTGGTGCTATTTTTCCTACTGTTCAAATAAAGAAGTTGAGAAAAACTGAGCTGAAAGCACTTCAACACTGAATCATTTAGGGAGGTGGGGGCAGAGTCCATGGTTTCTGGCTGTCAGCCTTCCACTTCTGCCACTACTCAGCATGTCTCCAACTTTAAAACCACATATAACCTCATTCTAATCAACCACTTGCATTGTTTCCCCTTCTGGGGAGAGAGATATGGAAAGGTCACGATTATATCAAACCACAGGGTACCCACCCTCAGTAACTTCACTGCACCATAGCACCGGAGGGTATGAAACCTCTCTAAAGAGCCTGATTTTTGCCAACCCCCAGATCCCAACAGAAATGCCAGACACCACTAGTTTCACTACTTGGGCTAGCCCTCAGAGAAGACAACTCATGTGAGTGTTTGTAGGATAAAGACATCATTCACATAGACATCTCCAACGGCCGGTACTAGCAACTGCTGGCTCTTGCATTTCACCTCACAAACCCTCTTGAAAAAACTCCCAGGACAGCAGTCTGGACAGCACAGCTGGGAGCAGGCAAAGGACTCTGGTAACTCAGCCCTGGAAAAGGGAGGAACTGCTCTTGTCTGAAGTTCAAGAGTTCTGTTAAGGCACAGCTGAAGCACGAGAGTGGAAAAATTGCAGGAAAAATAGGCCAGCAAGAAACCTTATTCCAGCCTTTCCAAAACAGTGTATTATTTCCATTAGCAGCCTGGAAAATTTATTACAGAAATCTTCAGGTACTGTCAGAGCTTTGTAATGATGCATCAAACAACCACCAATGAATGCATCAGCACCCAATACAAAGGGTCCCAAACATACCAATCCTCTGATCATCTAGATATAGTTAACTTGATTATTATTATTATTTACAGGATATCAGCTGACTAGATCCACTGCAGACTGCACTAAGTTCCTGCATAGAAAATACCTCTGGAGCCATCATATTTTCCCAGTCTTTCACAGCTTCTGCATGCCAGTGACAGTTTTAGAAGGAAGATTCTTCAGAAGTACTTTTAATTACTATTTCCTCCTTAGCTAGAATGCATTAATTATAGCCTGCTCCTCCAGATAATAAGAAAACAAAAACCAGTGCAATATGAACACTACAGGAAACTTAATTACAGAGTCAGATGTCCTTTAGATGTCAGTATCACTACAGTGAGGAACAGGAAAATAAAGCACACACATATCAGCCTCAAGTTGTTAGATCAGTTATCAAAACAATGTCTTTCCTCAGTAACTTCACTTTGAGGAACTCAACCAGCTAATTAATCAAATGCCTGTTGGTGTTTCAAAAATGCGTTGGGTTTGTTTTTAATAAAGGAGGCCTGATGATGTATTTATTACAAAGCAAATGTGGCAAATGCTTCTGCATGCAAATGCAGAAGTGCAGCATGACTTTCAAGTGTGAAGGTCAGATAGAATAACCGTTCTCATCAAGGTTCTTATGTCAGGCTGCATCTTCTGTTTTGCATCTGTATTTAGGAGCAGGAAGAAAGAGTATTAAAAGGAAAAAAAATAGCCAGCCAGTTCTGTGACAACTTAAGAGGAACTGGAATGCTATCGTTCACCTGCTTTCCCTTAAAAATTTGCAAATACCTTATGTCCCCAAAATGAAGAAAGGAAATGGAAAAGGTCCTGAGAGGACACACAGTTTCATTCTGATTTTCAACTTTTTCTTCATCAGGAAAACTAGCCTACTTAAGTCAGCAATAATTTTGCATTAAAGATCATGTCATCTCCTCCATTTTAACAGACATTTCAAACCCCTAACGTTTAAGACAGCTGAAGTATTTTCTTGTTGAGCAACATGTTTTATTTTAAAACAGTATAGACTCAACTGCAGAAACAAATCAGAGGACTATGCAGTGACCTTTTTCCAAGCATCCAAGAATTCATCCCTCACCATTCTATATTCCCAGCAACTTTAGGATACAAATCTCAACAGCTGGGCCTAAAGGCAAACAAACATGCCTCATGTATCAGAGCCTGATCCATGTCAAAAAAAGAAAAAGATAAAATATAATGTATGTTTTACATGCATTATCTCCAAGACAAATAACCAATATGGACTTCTTTTTAGCACCACCATCACGTTTAAATACAGTAAAACTGATAACACCTCCCAGTAAAACACTGAGTTATAAACAGTCCCCTCTTACACATAAATAACAGAGACATTATACAAAGCAGACAGGAACATGGAGGGATGTACACAAAATAAATACATTCAAACTCACCCCACTCCAGATATTCGAGGATGTTCTTCTCTCTTCTCAGAGGGGAATTATTACATTCATCATAAAGGCAGATGAGTATATCCAGCAAAGTTTCCACACTGAAGCATTGCCCATTAGTCTGTGTTGGCCCATCCAAAATAAACTGCTCCAACTGCTTCAAACGCACTTCTCCAGACATGGTTGTTTCAGTTTGCATCAGGGTTTCTTTTTTAATGATTACTATTACTTTGCCAGAAAAACAAACAAACAAAAAAACCTTTTGAGGGTTTTGTTGTTTAAAAAGAAGTCAACAGTATTTTTAACAAGTGTCAAACCGTGACAGTGCTTAAATTTCCAGCCCACCTCGGTGTTCCCAGCTTGAAACTAAACCCTTGGAGTTTCAGACACACACGTACAGAGTGCATACCTCTGTATGCACGACTTTTAAAGGAAGAAAATAGTTACCCTAAAAAAAAAAAATTTAATACGCTTAATAAGGAGGGGGGAGGGGGGGAATATACGGCCACTGCTGCTGCTTTAATAATTGCACTCAAATTCAACCGAGACTGACTGACACCGATTCCACCGTGTGTGTGCACGGGCACACGCACTTAGATATTTAAGGTCTTCTCCTTCATT